GATTATTATTTGTTCCGGTCACTCCAAAATTTTTTAGACGGTAAAACCTTCACCTTAAATGAGGAGGTCAAAAACCTTCTCGATCAGTTTTTTGCCAGCAAAGACCAAAAATTTTATGAGCGTGGAATTATGCTACTACCAGAAAGATGTCAAAGGGTGTTGGACTAGAACGGTCCATATATAATTTAATAAAGTATTTGTTTATTATACGAAAACTGTCTTTCATTTCAAAAAAAAAAAAACGAAATGACTTTCCGAACAACCCTATATATTATATCAAACATTTAAATAATTTAAATAGTTTTTATATTTGAATATTTTTTATTAAAGGTTTATCTACCTGTCAAAACGCCTACCGAAATAAATGCCATGTTTGACACAATAACGTATAATAAGGGAGCCTACATTTTGTTTATGATTAACAGCTTTTTGGGGGAGGAAGCATCCCAAGCAGGACTTATCAAGTATGTGTTAAAACACATGTACGAAAACGTTGAGCAAGATGATTTTTTTGAATCACTCACAATTGAATCTCATAAAAGTGGCGCACTTGAAAAAAAGTTGAACGTCAAGACTATAATGGATACTTGGACCCTGCAAGCAGGATTTCCGGTTTTAACAGTTAACAGAAGTTATGAAAACAATTCGGTAAAAGTAACTCAGGTTAGTATATATACTTGGATATAAAATTAATTAAAAGTGTAAATCTATTTCGCTTTAGAAACGATACTACCGAAATCCAGATGCTTCAGTCACCAATGAGTGCTGGTGGATACCATTGAGTTATACAAATCAACGTGAAAAAGATTTCGTAAGTACGCTGCCAAAAGATTGGTTGGCTTGCCCAAAATGTGCAAAAACTATAAATAATATCGCCAATGAAAGCGAGTGGATTTTATTTAATATAAGAGGGGCAGGCTTGTACATGGTAAATTATGACAACAGAAATTGGGAGATGCTGGTTTCAACATTAAATGGTGATTCGTACAGGGACATACCTATTATTAATCGAGTTCAGCTTATTGAAGACTCTGCCAATTTAGCAGCTGTTTCAAAAACAAACTACGAATATTTCTTCGGAATTTTGCAGTACTTGAAAAACGAATTTCAGTATCTTCCTTGGAAAGCAGCGGCAGTACACATTCGTTATTTGCACATTATGCTACGTTACACTTCAATAAATGGATCTTTTGAGGTACGCTGTGCCACTCCGCTGATTAAAATCGATCTTGCGCGCAGTCTCGCACGCGCATGACGTCATTTCGAGATGCAGTCTATAGACGACAATAGTTCTGTGTTTTCTTTAATTCTCTACAAATAGTTCGTAAAACGAAAAATTCAGTCAATACTTTTTATAATATAAGCACGTTTGGACACGACGACACCTGCTCCCGTCTCGAAATGACGTCCCCTCAAGGTTGAAAAATGTCCTTACAATTAAACAAAATGTTGTAGAAGTTCGTTAGGAACATATTAGAGGCAATAATTGAAAAAACGAAAACTAGAAAAGTAAATCCATCAGATACGAAGAACGTAAAATTTTTAACTTTATTTGGTTCACTCTCCTGTGAATATAATGTGAGAAGTTGTAGAGCCCGTGCGGAAAACTTTTTGCAAAATTATATGAAACATCCCGACACTAAGTTCAGGTGAGTTATTATTTTTATTTATTACAATAATACTATTTGTTAAACTTCAAAAACCTTTGTTCATGATGATTGAAAAAGGAAAAGATATCATCGTAATATACATCAAAGTTAAACAAATTAGTTTATCAAGTAAGTGACAGTAAAACACCATTTGTGGATATTTACTGATATTTGGTATTAGTTTCAATAATTTCTGATCATTAATTGCGATATAGGTAGGTCAACCAGAACCTATTCGTTATGACTAGGACCATTCTACTGTACATCTATCTATTATTTACCGCTTGGACACAAACTCCTGGATGGTTAAACTCATGCATTTGGTGCCCTAATCAGGTCGTTAATTGAGTGAGATCAATTTTTTGTTTTTCTACTTTACAGCAACTTTTCCAACGACATGCACGAATTGGCTTTATGCTATGGAGTGCAGAGAGGTGATGAGGCAGAGTGGAACTTTTTATGGGAAAAATATACAAATACAAATATTGCCAGCGAAAAGCATATAATACTGAAAGCTTTGGGTTGCACCAGGATTATATGGTTACTGCAACGTTATTTGGAATGGTCTATTGAAGACGATAGCGGTATAAGAAGCCATGATCGAATAACAGTATTTCGTGCAGTTGCTCACAATGACATAGGATATATATTTGCCAAATTGTTCTTCGAAGATCACTTTGAGGAAATATACGAGGGGTATAATATTATCATCATCATCATCATAAGGTTATCAGTCCTAAGACTGATTGGACACGTACCTCCACTCTTTCCTATCCTGAGCTAATCTTCGCATTTCCCTAAAACTAAAACAGCCCACATCCTTAACTATTTGCGAACAGTAATATAATCTAGGTCTACCTCTACCCCTCCTAACTCCTGTTTCTGCCTCTAATATGTCTCTGACTAGACCTTCATGCCTNACAAGCGCCTGCATGGCAAACGTAGGACAAATGTTCAGAGAGCACGTTATAAGTCCCCGAGTTAATACGTAAGTAAATCTACTTATAACAGGGTTCATACTGACAGAGGCAGATTAATCCCTCCGCTCTTTGGTCAGGTGGTTTCGTGGTCGATGCAAAATGGAACATTTCGTAATATAAAAGAAAAAAATTACTAATGCAATTTACCATTTTACCTTAGCATACCGCAGGAGCTTCGGTCAGTGGTGTATTGTAACGGAATGAAAAATGCTGGTGACAACGAATGGAACTTCTTATGGAGCAAATATAAACAAACAGACGCAATTAACGAGAAAGACGAAATTTTAGAGTCATTAGGATGTAGTAAGAATCCCTCCTTATTGCAACGCTACTTGCAAGTAATTGTTGATGAAAGATCTGGTCTAAGAAAAGGCGATAGTTTAAAAGTATTTAGTGCAGTTGCCAAAAACGAAATGGGATATCAAATTGCTAAGTCATTTTTTCAAACCAACGTTCAAAAGATCTTCGAGAGGTAACAGTAATAACTTAGAAATGACGAAATCTAATGCAGTTGTACACTCACTGCACTTAATTGTATAGGTACATGAAACTAAAAAATATTTTTACTTTCTTTCAGTTCCAAATTCAACGTTAAAGAGTTTTCAGCCTTTCTGTTTATAATCAGCGAGTCCGTAACTACCGAGGATTACTACGGTTAGAGAACTCGAATGGGTAAGTAAGTCTTCTTTAAAACACATTCGAAAAAGGAATAAAATAAATAAAACTTTAGCAAACTAATTGGTTCACGTTTTTCCAGCTTAAGCAATTCATCGATCAACATAGTGAGATATTTTCCGAATTGAAAAGTGAAGTTCAGCGAGCCCTCGAAGTCGCAACAATTAATACACGATGGCACGCACTATTTTTCAAGAATATCAGAAACTATTTTCAAAATTCGCGAANTAATAGTTCTAATAATTCCATTTACTATCAAACGCTTTTTAATGAAACTTTTTTATTGACTATAAAATTAACTCATTTTTGTCGTGTTATTGGAATTGAAATGCAATAAAGTTTGTTTTTTCTTTAATGCGTATACACAAAAGTAATTTAAATTATCAATAATAATACAATACGTGGGTATTTCAAAACAAAACTTTAAATTTGAATAGTGCTTCTGTGTATAAACTAAGTCCAATTGCAAGCTATAGAGTATGTATTTTAGAAAATGCCATTTTTGGAAACATATTTGTTACGACATGAAGGCTGTACGAAATAAAGTTATACTTCGTTTAGTTTCTGTAGCGATGTGACCTTCACCTTCGGCGCAAAGTAGAAAAGAACAGCACTAGGCCAGAAAAGAAAGGAGACAACTCTCGGTCAAACTCTTAACCGGAGAGAAGCGTATAATCCGTACAGTATTGCACGGAAAAATTGACCGTTTTATCCACTACAATAGCATTGCTCAAATGTGCTGTTATTAGTACCATTTACTACCGAAAATGTCAACGAGATGTTTATTTATATTTGAAAACATATTAAAGGCTTTACGCTTCATGATTGAACAAAACTTTCGGCAGGTACTGTATGTAAAAAGTATGTTTAATGAACAAGAGTTGAGAGTATAATGAGCTTTTTTCTCTCTACGATTTTGCCAGCGCGCATCCAAGACATTGGAAGAGGCACGTCGCTAGAGAAAGTAAATGAAGTATACCACCAGGCTTGTATGGTATGTTAGAGATTGCAATGACCAAGATCAATTTTGCTCAAAGGTCAAATATATAATTTCAAATATTTCTGAAAACTAATCAGGGAGTGTATATAGGTACATTGCGGTATTACCACCTAATATTAGTTGGATTAACTAACAGACGCGGATAGCGATTACAATCTTATTTGATCTCATTAGCACGTTATAGGCTTATAGTTTCGATAAATTATTGACCAAATCGAACAAGCTCATAAAGACCAAGTTAACGTAACATCCAAATGTAGACAGAATTAGAATGTTTTTATGGTTTATGTGGAAGTTACGATAGACATACCATTTTTAATTAATTAATTGTTATTACATAAACCGTTTAGATTAAATTCTAACCGTTTCTTTTCCGCCGCACCCACCGTCCATATTTCGCACCCGTATAGCCCCGCGCTCCAAACATACACCACAATATTTTTCGAATTTCTAAAGTAATCGTTCGCGAGCATAAAAGTGACTTGTGTTATATCCCTACTACTTCTTCCGGCGTGACTTATATGACTTCAGATACCTAAATGCAGCCACTTCTTTTAATCCTTCGTCTCCTATCTTTATATTCGCTCTTTCCCTACTTTTTCTACATATCAGTATTTTTGTTTTACTTTTATTTGTTTTTATAGAATACTATTTTGACAATTCCATTCTATTCGAGGCAAATATTCATTTATTTGTTTTTATTTTCTTTAAGTGAAGATCAATAAATGACCATATATCTTTCATTGAATGCGATTATAAGTTAACTGTCGTTAAAAGTTCACAAGTAATTGCAAATAGTTATTTTATAATTGTATAGGAAACTCGACGCTGGCGTTCAAAATTAACGGTTCTGATTCCATTAACTAGAAAATTAATGGTTTTGATTCCATTAACCAGAAAATAACTTTCTATTGAATCATAAATAATAAACAATCTATTTTCGATATTTTATGGAAATTTAAATGCTCAAAATTTAATTTTCCTTGATCGAAACAGGAAAATAATTTCAAATGTTTTGCGATAAGAATAATAATATACATGTGGATATTTAAAAACAATACAAATAACACTTTTCCAATATTAAGATCCAATACTAACCTTTAGAATTAGATTCAGAGAATGCTTGTAGAGTCTAACAATTGTTTCATCAAAGTCAGTCTCATCAGATGTGGTCATTCCATGGATATATTCTCGACAGGTACGATTCAGTGCAATTACTTCATTATTATTGAAAAAATACATAGATCACAATGAAAATATTTTAAAAGAGTTATGGTTCGCCCTTCAGCATTATCCTTCTTATTTGGTTTGTTATTGATGGCAACTGGTACAAGAATAGGTCACTTATCAAGGAATGTGATACCAAAAAACTACAATTTAGAAATAGTAACACATCTAGATGATGACAAAAATTTGATGTTCGTATTTGAAGGAAAGGTCAATATAAAGGCAAGTTTAACATTTTTATTTAAAATTGAGGAATTACACTTAGCATTTCACAATTCTTTAAGGGCTTACAAACACAACTTATCTAACATTTATAATATCGTTAAGCATTTAAACACCCTAATGACACTATTACTATTTTTATTTAACTATTTGTTGTCTACGTAATACTTCTGTTATTAATTAGTGATCCATCCACCACTATATGAACACTTTCTCACTTCTTAGCATTGTATCGCCTCGAATTCGTCCTCGTACTAACTAATTCGATCTCATGACAACTATTTATAGAAATTGGCCGTTTTTCTAGAACGATCCAGTTACACCGTCTAGAAACCTGGTCTTCTTTGCCACTGTATATGTTGGATTTTTTGTTTTTGCATGATTACAAGATCGTTATTGCATCAAACGATTAAATTAAGGAAATAAACTGCTAAAAATTAAGTCTGAAATATTATCTTGTAGTTTATAAAAAAATTGATAGACGAGTAGCTGATCAAATAACAGAGATAGTTCAAGAAATGACCCTTTAAATAAAGTCTAAAATAGTTGGTAGAACTGTAGTTTGAGCCATAAAACAAATTATTCCACTACTACACTTCATAAATAAATGTATCAATGTTTTGGTAACTTCTACGACATGGTTTTATAGATAAAATGCCTGAATTCAACTGATAAAATAATTCTAAACGTTTTGAATTTGACAATACACCAAGGTGTCACCTTTAATTATATTGGAGGTGACCAGTATTCTGTTTATGTTGTGGAATGGTGTTTATACCCGGAAAACGAAACCATGAGTATCAAATTAAATAAACCCTTAACGCCAGGAAGTACCTACAATCTTAAAATCCGATTTACCGGAAATCTCAGTTACTACTATAGAGGATATTATAGAGATTATTACAACAATTCGACGAGAAAGAAAAAGAAATGGATGGCATTTACGAACTTTCAACCAACGGATGCCAGAAGGGCATTTCCATGTTTTGACGAACCGAACTTTAAAGCTACTTTTGAAATAAGTCTCGGGAGGTTGAGAAAATACAACACTTTAAGCAACATGCCTCTCGAAAGAACCGAACCCATGTACGCATAAACCATGTAATAATGTGAAAATTTATTTCATTTTTATCCAAATATTGTTGCTGCAGTCACACCCTCGCCGGGAATCGAACCCGGTGCCTTTAGCTTTACACAATAATTGCTAAGCTACGGGAAGTGACAGCAGCAAAAACGATGAAACAGATTGATCGAACGAATGAATATATCTATTAATTTCATATGAAATATCATATTCTTCCTCATTAATTTGAGGTAATTTATGATGGAAAAAAAATTAAATGACTTTTCACATTAATATTAAAAAAAAAGTAAACGTTCCGGTTCCACAAAAGATATACGCATTTTCTTATTTTCAGGAAGGATCGAGAGGGCTGGGTTTGGGATAGATTCCAAAAATCAGTACGAATGTCGACATACCTTGTGGCTTTCGTTGTGTCTGAATACAAACCTTTGGTCGCTCCAAAAGCCCCTACCAATAATGTGATATTCAAAATTTGGCATTCGGATCACGAAAACAATCTAGTACATAAACACCACAATTTATGACAATAGTGCCAGAAAATGTTTTTATATTAATTTTCAGACCAGCTTAGCAGCGAATACGGCCTCAAAAGGGTTAGAATTCTTCGAACAGTACCTTAATATCAAATACGTTCTTCCAAAACTAGATATGGTATCTGTAAACCGATTTCCGGCTGGTGCTATGGAGAATTGGGGACTTATAATCATCTTACACCATTATCTTCTTTATGATCCCAATTCGTTATCGCATTCAAAAGAAACAGCCATTACGAGCGTTATTTTCCACGAGCTAGCTCACCAATGGTTTGGAAATTTAGTTACAATAAAGTGGTGGAGTGATATATGGCTTAATGAAGGTTTTGCCACTTTCATGGCAGCATTAGCAGTTCATCATCTTTATCCTGAATGGGATTCGCTTAATGAAGAAAGAATAAATGATGTTTCAATGATATTTTCTATCGATTGTCTAAACAGTTCACGGCCGGTACTTATCCTGCATGTTTCTGAAATAAGCAACAAGCTTTATAGGGTATTAGCTTTTGGTAGATGCGTCACGAAGGGATAAAAAAAATTGTAACCAAACCATACGACATGGCGATCCGAAACCCCGGTCCTGAGCGTGAATTTACAATGTATAGAGAAATTGCGGTAACAACCAAGCAACTACATCGACGAAAAATGTCGATTGTAGAACAACTGGCATAGTAGACATCAACAGGATACAATAATCCTAATACAAATAATAATCTTTAGAACCTCATTACGATAACAACTCGTTAAATAACTACATAAAATATGCGGTAATATTTAAAGTGCATCTCGGTATGCTATTAAGAACACAAAAGAAAGAAACAATTAACGTTGTGCAAATTTTAATAGGTAAACGGTTAAGATAAGCAATTTTATTAAATTTTAAAACAACCACCGCAAGCTTGCTACTTATTTCAGAAACACCCTGTAAAGCTATCGACATTTATCATATTTCTGGAGAATTGTTTAAATGTTAATATTTATTCCATTAATCGATTCTTCTTATAAATTTTTAACTAAAAATCTAACGTTGAAGTAGTCCAATATCCTGGGGGAAAATGTAGTTTTTAAATAAACAAAAAACATGTAGTTCTGTTATTGTACGAATTCGAGAAATGGTTGATATTTTGTATTAAAGGTCTCTTCACCAGTTAGAACACCTCAAGAAATACTGGATAATTTTGACAGATTGGTGTATCAAAAAGGCTCTTGTCTGGTGAACATGATGTTTCACTTCCTAGGAGAGGAAACGTTTAAAAAAGGAATAACTAAATATTTGGAAGAAAACAAATTCAAAAATGTTGAACAAGATGATCTCTTTCAATTTCTGACAAATGAAGGTCATATAAGCGGCACACTTGCAAGACAATTCAATGTCAAAACTATAATGGACACATGGACCCTTCAAGCAGGATATCCTGTTATAACAGTTAATAGAAGTTATGAAGACAATTCAACAAAAATAACTCAGGTCAGTCAAAAACTTTTATAATAATTAATTTCACTTTCGAGGCTTACCCAATTTTAGGAGCGATTTTACCAAGATAAAAGTATTTCACCAACAAATGAATGTTGGTGGATACCCTTGACTTATACAAATCAACGCAAAAAAAGATTTGGTAAGACACGTACACGTAGAAAGGATTGGTTATCCTGTCCACCAAACACGAAGATTATTAAGAACATTGCGACAAAAAATGAATGGGTAATTTTCAATATTCGGATGGTAGGTTTGTATAGAGTGAATTACGACGACCGAAATTGGGAAATGTTACAATCTACGTTAAATAGTGAATCATACAACGACATACCTGTTTTAAATAGATTTCTGTTAATCGATGACTCTGAAAGTATGGCAGCTTTAGGCAAAATAAGTTACAAGATTTTCTTTGGAATATTACGGTATTTAGACAGGGAAACAGATTATCTTCTGTGGGAAGAAGTATGGAAGATCACAACTCGTTTTGAAATTGTCTTACGTAACACCACCGCATTGGAAGTATATCGCGTAAGTTAAATTAATTCTTTAATGTACTACCGAGAACGAAAAGGACTCGATTTACACAGCACAAACAAAATATTTTAGGAATTTATGAAGGGCCTATTAGAGCCGATAGCGGAAAAGATAAAAGCGATAACAGTTGAGGGACAAGAACCAGGAGATTTCAAGAAACTGAAATTGAAAGAAGTTGTTTTAAAACTTGCATGCCATTTTAAAGCAAGCGCCTGTGTGCCAGACGTAGGACAAATGTTCAGAGAGCACGTTAAAAGTCCCCGAGTTAAAACGTAAGTAAATCTACTTATAACAGGGTTCATACTGACAGGGGCAGATTAATCCCTCCGCTCTTTGGTCAGGTGGTTTCCTAGTCGGTGCAAAATGGAACATTTCGTAATATAAAAGAAAAAAATTACTAATGCAATTTACCATTTTACCTTAGCATAGCGCAGGAGCTTCGGTCAGTGGTGTATTGTAACGGAATGAAAAATGCTGGTGACAACGAATGGAACTTCTTATGGAGCAAATACAAACAAACAGACGCAATTAACGAGAAAGACGAAATTTTAGAGTCATTAGGATGCAGTGAGAATCCCTCCTTATTGCAACGCTACTTGCAAGTAATTGTTGATGAAAGATCTGGTCTAAGGAAAGGCGACAGTTCAAAAGTATTTAATGCAGTTGCCAGAAACGAAATGGGATATCAAATTGCCAAATCATTTTTTCAAACCAACGTTCAAAAGATCTTCGAGAGGTAACAGTAATAACGTAGAAATTACGAAATCTAATGCAGTTGTACACTCACTGCACTTAATTGTATAGGTACATGAAACTAAAAAATATTTTTACTTTCTTTCAGTTCCAAATTCAACGTTAAAGAGTTTTCAGCCTTTCTGTTTATAATCAGCGAGTCCGTAACTACCGAGGAGGAATACGAAGAGGTAAGACGAAATCTCTAGGTGCTAAGTGTAAAATGCTCAAATGGAGATGGAGCCGAAATTAATATCAATCACTTAAGGTTACCTTTGGTGAAATCATTCATGAAGGTCAATTGTGAGCATGAAAAAAAATTGATTAAATATTAAAAAAACTTTTATTCGTTCCTTTTAAATCTCATGTAATGAAGCAAATTAAAAATGTTTAGTTGCTGTTCACATTTTTCAGTTCAAGCTATTCATCTATCAACATAATAAAATATTCTCCAAATTAAGAACTGATGTAAACCGAGCGTTGGAGAAAGCCAAGTACCACATTCAATGGAGGAAACTGCATCTGCATCGTATTGAACAATATTTAAAGCAACCATAATTAAAAATATTGTATAATTAGATATTACATCCAATAATCTGCCTGCAGGACTTATTTTTGTGTTATATTATTCATTTAAGAAAGTTTTTGTATTTATTGCAAAACTAATGAATATGTGAAATTTTCATCTTAAAAAAAATGTAATTTTTTGTCAGTTTCAGACAAATATTTTCCTGCTCTGTAAAATAAGGAATTAAACTGTATGTTTAACTATAATTTTCAAAATATTGTCTTTAGAGACATTTTGCAGTAAAAATAGTTACCACTAACTTTTCAAAACAATTTTGCAACTATAAAAATTGTACTTATTTAATGAATACATATCCTCAAATACAACAAAATATATTCATCATAAAAAGAAGAATCCAAGAATTGTAATATAAATAAATTTTAATTTTGCCAGTAAAACCGACTAAGGTGGAATTTTTTATTTGTTAATCAGAACGGTATCGTCTGTCAATTTTAATCATCTTCAAGTTAAAATGAAATACATATCACCATTATTATAAACACGTTTCAGTTTTTAAGCAATCTGTAACAATTCTGTAAGTTAACATTAAATAACTAATTCTATAATATAAAAATGAATCGCAAAATGTGTTGGTAAGCGCATAACTCAACAACGCCTGGACCAATTTGGCCAAATCTTTTTTTAAAATGTTCCTTGAAGTTCAAGGATGGTTTTTACAGCGAGAAAAATTAGAATTATTGCTGGAAAAACCCTAAAAATAGCCCTTTTCTTTTTCCCATACAAATGATTTGTAACTAAAACGTAGTCAATTTGAGCTTTATTGCTATGGCATAAAGTTCATATTAAATTACAAGCACTCACTGTTGTCTAAGCAATGTAGGTGTGTTCCTAACGTCAAAGATCATATTTATCAAAACAATGTGCGTGTGTGCGTAGGAGCACAGAATACATAATAATAATAATCTCTCGCTGGATGGCTGGATCAAGGGCCAGATACAGAAGGCGGTAATCCTGGACACGGCGCGCATTGTCAGGAGGTTCCTCTCTCTGCGGCCCTAACCGCCGGTAGCTTGGGCCCTGCCCCGTTGCTGGCGGCACCCTAGGTTAGGTTTTTTATACTGTGTTTATATTTTGTACTGTATTTTTTATATTACTTTTTATATGCATTTTATAAAAAACCTAGCCTAAGATCTAAAGTAAATAAAGGAGATAATAATGAACATTCAATGTCATCATATGTCATTTCATTTTAGCAGCGATAATTATTCTGTTTAAATAAGTTTAAAATCCCCGGTCGAAGACGGGGCGAGCAGCTAGTGCAGAATAAAAATACTAATCGAAATGTTTGAAATATTTTGAAGAATCAGAGGTTTGTCGCTTGATGCAACGTTGAAGTCTCCGAATCTATCGTTGTAATACCGACACATTATGACCGCTACTCATAAAAAAAAATTTTCGGGTGTTTCATTCCCACCAGCCAGTAATGCTAATGGGCGGTCAGTCTCTTCGGACTCCATCGGAAGGTTGTGCGGAAGTCGCTCTTCAGCTTCCTTTCAGGAATCGTGGCAATGGGTGGGTTGTGGTTCGGGTGAGAAAGATGAGACGGACGAAATGAAGACAGAAGAGAATGAAATATTATCTGTAGAATATTACTGCCTCAGCATTTGCCTATGCGAACCAAGGAAACCACAGAAAAATATAAACCGGGGTCCTTCCGAACGCTAAGCAATGGTTTAGACCAGGGATGGCGAACCTTGAGGTACCGTCGTGCCATTTTTATAAAGAAAAGTTTAATCAGGTCATAGACGTGCCATCAAATAATTTTGTCTCTGTGATTATCGGGAAAATAATGATAATAAATAATATCAACTCAAAATTCTACAAGAAAATAGGAACATTTTGCAATGTTTAAATTATACGTGTAATTTAAATTAAAATAAAATTAGTGTGACTTCTGTTTTTGCAGATTAGATGACAAATAACTTATGTTAGAGTTGTAAGATGTTAATTTTAGCAGAATGCATGCCGAACTGGAGTCATCTACCAAACGGTTTGTAACAGCGAGTTTTTGATGTTATTAATCTCTGAAAATATGACTCGCAGGCATAGGTTGATGAAAACATTATTAAAATATCATATGCCAGCTTCTTAAAAAAATTAAATATGTTTGTTATCGCATGCCATGTTTCCAAAATTTTGTTATTAGCATTTTCACTCGTATTATGCGTCGATCTTTCTGTTTCAATTATTTGTAACACTTTCCTTGTTCCAACAACTTTTTGAATCATATTGAACTAGACTGGAAATCAATCAGCTGCATTTCAGATTCTTCAATTTATTTTATCAAATGTCACATCAGGGTACATAATAAACTTTCGTATTAGTATTTCCGATAATTCTCTGAAGTGAGAAAATCTTGCTGAAAATTCCTTGATTAGTAACAGTTG